AGAAAAAAAAATCCACAAATTTTGCAGAGACACTCTCATTGCTAATTATTTTTATTAGCCCAGGAATAGATTATTAGCACAACAACTAGTTGTAAAGGAGAGGACTCAGCAGCTCGTCTCACTGGTTATACAGCATTTTCAAGGCTAAATTTCCAAAGGGCTCCTCCCTGAATGTTGTTCACTGAATGGAGGCATTGCGGGGCATGCAGGCTTTTCTACTTGGAATATTAAACAGTACCAGCCACAGGCTCACCCAAGAATCCTCTCCTTCCTAATCTCCCTAAACTTGCCATTCTGTAAAACTCATTTCAATTTCAAGGCATGTTAAGCATGTGCTGGGCACTGTGACAGAGGTTCTCTTATTTAATTCCTATAGCAACCCTGTGAGATTGGTATTACTATCCCCTGTTGTACATATGAGGAAATTAGGCTCACAGAGGTCAAGTGACTTGGCCAAGTGACAGAATCAGGCTGCTGAGATTCTTTCCCCAACACTGGGAATCCTGTAACAAAGCAATGGATGCAGCGAAGTTTTTAGGAGCCACTTGGGCAACAGGGGATGAGTTCTTACCATACAGATCAAGAGGTCTGCTCAGAAGCCATGAAAGCAGCGGCAGGTTTTATTTTTGTTTTTATTTGATTTTAATGACTAAAAATCCTATAGGAATTCTTACTGGCCCCAGTGAGAATCCACAGAGGCCCACCAGTCAGTTGACTCCTGACCTTCCATGCTTCTCATCCTAATTAATGCAAGGTCCTTGGATGACAGTGTGAGCATCAAGACCTTGTTAGAGTTAGCAATGACCTTTACATCTATCAGGCTTTTCAAAATATGTAAAACAGCTGTGCATCGGGTACACCCCCAAATTCTCAACCTTGAAATAGGAGTAGATGCATTTTTCCTAATTATGGTGTTTTTCCTAAGTCTTTGGGACAGGACTTTTCACATGGCTAAAAAATATTTGAGGAGTGGCTTGTTTTTCAATTGCCCAAGCAAACCACTGAGGCGTGCAGAAAGAAGATTCTTACAAACTGACTGATTTCCTTGGCTTAAAAAGAAATCTAGTAGCAGGGGAGATAAGGAAAAGAGAACCATCTGAAAAAATTTGGAGGGGAAGGGGAATGTTTGGTTTCCATACTTGTGCCTCTAATATTCTTTTGTTCTCCCACCTCATTGTATTAAGGATGCTAAATCAAACATGATTGCAGTGATGTTTGTGTGTGAAAATGACAAAAGCAATGGGCTAAAATCCCAACCTCATCTTGAACCCTGAAGACTTTTATGGCTTTTCCTTCAGTAGGCCCTCCCCCTTAAAGCACATTAAAGACCACATTGTTTAAAAGGGTCATGGTAGGTTTCATACCCCATTTTAATACAATGTAAATGGTAACTGAACTTCCAAGTTGTGTTAGTAATATTTGTATCTCTCTGGAAAATGCCCATTAAAAGAACTGATCCCATGGCTTAAATATTAATGCAAAATTATAATGTATCAGAGAGGCAAAACAATGGTATCAAGGAGGTACTGTGATGATTAACTTAGATTTTCTTTAATACATAATTTTCCCCAGAAAAAGGGGTGAGAGATGGGTTAAAAATATCCAGATGATCCTGGTAAGTGTCTACATATTCTCTCAGGCCTCAAAACTGTCCAGGAGGATATGTCATCTCAACTCAAGAAGCATAAAATAAATTAAACTTGGGGCTCATTTCAACTGCAGGTCTTTCTCCCTGCCCCCCACCCCTGCCCTTATTCCATTAGCATGTCTGCAAGTCACATTATGGACCCCAAGTTGGTTTATGCATTTATTCCTGAAAGATTTCAATGATATTGAAATTAGAATGATATTAAAGACTATGCATTTATTCCTGAAAGATTTCAATGATATTGAAATTAGAATGATATTAAAGACTATGATTCCATTTTCCACAGCTGTTACCATCAATTGTCACCAATACTTTGGGGGTTTAGTGGGAGAGGTGGCAATGACTCCATTACTCTTTCCAACAGCCATAAAAAATTTGCATCATAAAAGCACCTACTGAACAACTAACTGCCTTAGTCCTCTGAAAAAGGATACAGTAAAAAAGGAAGGTTACAGGTAGGCTTGGGAAAGAAGAATTCAAAAACTGAAAATCCGAACTGGAGTAAAATTACAACAAACTTGATAGTGCTTTTAAAATCATAATTTCATAAATGCTCACTTTCCCAAGCTCAGGTATCTCTGCTCAACACCCACATATAATAGGCATTAAGATGTGGCATGATATGAGTTAAATGCATTTTAAAATAAAACCTATGATTTTTGTAGATTTCCTGGCTATGAGTCTGATTTAAATGATTTCAAAATAACACACTAAGAGCATCTGTTTAGTTCAGATGAAGTTTCAAGAGCCAATACCAGCTGTTGGGGGAGGGATTTCACACATGTGTTACTCAAATCCTAACCAAATTTTGTTTTTTTCATTCCCTTAATGATGCTTCCAACCCCAGTAGGGTAAAGCAAACGTTAGAATAAAAAAGAAAGAAGAAAGGAAGAGGAGGGAAAAAGGAAGAAAGGAAGAGAAAGAGAAAGAGAGAGAGAGAGAGAAAGACAGAGAAAGAAAGAAAGAAAGAAAGAAAGAAAGAAAGAAAGAAAGAAAGAAAGAAAGAAAGAAAGAAAGAAAAAGAAAAAGATTACTCAATGCATTGATGCATGTGACTAAGGCCAAAATGATCACCCTCTCCAATTCAATACAGTATTAGCATGAGGACAAAAGGCGTTTAAAAATCAATTTGGAGTTATTTCTAGTGGGGATTGCATGATCCTAGCAAGTTGAGGAATGAGAATATTCCCAACATTAACAGGGTACTCTTTTAAGTATTTTCTCCTTTAAGAGCAATCTGATTTTCACAAGGAATTCATTTGGTGGCATTGTTTTGGTTTTAGGTGTCTGTCCTGCCAGGCAGGGGCCATGCACAAGGGCTGCATCTATCTTGAAGTGTGCACAATGGCCTCTCTTGCGGCTCGCTCTCTGTTATTGATCCTTACAGATGCTCCAAGGCCCTTCCCCCACCTTTCTCCAAATCCCAACCCCCCATTCTGAAAGATAGCTTAAGAAATAAGACTTCCTGCCTAGCGACTGGCAGGGCTGAAAGACCAGATTGTATGACTCCACAGATCAGGCCTGCCACAGTGAAAGCTTGAATAGAGTTAACCCTCTGTGAACTAAAACAAAACATTTGTATGCCCAGCTGTGACAAAGGTTAATTTAAATGGACAAGGGCCCAATATCTAAAACCAGGCAACACTTTTTTTACAGTAGCATTTTCACTCACGTCTTTTGTAAGTAGTCTGATTTTGCTTTTTAAGCTTCCAAAGATGATCTTCAGCTGGGATAATCTGTTTTGCTTTACTAGAATTTTATATGGAAGATTCAGTTAAAAATTTTAAAATTCACTTCTTTGTTTTATAAAAGTTCTTGTTTTAGTACCATAAGTTATTTTCTGTCATTGAACAGCTAAGAAAAATCAAAGTTTCAATACTTAATTAAATAAGAACTGAGGGAGAACTTTCTCTTCAAATCTTTTTTCTCTTTCAGAACTTGTAGACTATACAGCACTAAGAGATTCAAGCTGGTTGGAAAAAATATCCAAATCCTCCAGGGCTATCTCTTCCAAACTTATGCAACCCCTGCTCTGGTATCTCTGCCTGCCCTTAAACTCCTATTCCAATGTATCCAGAGCAAATCTTACTTCATAAATGACTCCTTTCTGGAAAAGCTAGTATATCCAGAATACAAAGAATTTCTGTGTATATTGGGGGAAGAAGAGGAAAATTAAAAATAACAGGGCTTGCATGTAACTGATAATTTCTACAAACTTTTTTGTTTCCACTAAGAGACACTAAAAACCAATGAGGTCATAATTCTGACATATATGGTGCTGGGGGAGAATATACAGGGAGTGTTAGGATGAAGAATAACGTTGTTGGAGAGGAGATCAGCCCCCTTCCCGGGGTTTGTACATCCTCAGAGTAAGAGTGAAACTGCAAAGCTGCCGGTGGCAGATGTTAGCCATGCTGCACGGGGCTAGGACGCTTTCCTAGGACTAGCTATTTTACTAGTTAATGTCCTGGAAATGTACTAACTACTTCAAATGTGAAACTCTTCTAGCTATAGCTCAACAGAGCTTGCCTACAAGAAACCAAACTTCTGGCAAAGTCTTAGACTCTATATTTTATAAACACAGCAAACAAATACAGCAAATCTTTAATGCTAAGATTCATCTTCTAGCTGTTTCTTTAACTGTGTATCTGGCCCAAATAATAAAGTTGTGGGGCACTGGGGTTTCTCACACAAGTAGGAGCCTATCTCTGAATATACACATTGCAATACCAACTAGTTGCTATTAATAAAACACACACACGCACACACGAATTTACCCATTTTAAAAACCTACTTAAAAAGAAATTAGCAATGGCTTAGTCTTATGCCCCCAACCATAAAATATCTAAATTCCCCCAAAGGAAATGAGGCTGCCTTATCAACGGCCTCATGACCCCAATACTATCTATAATTACAGTACTAAATAAGGCTTTCACAGATGGTGAACTGGATTAAGGAATTTAAAATATAAACAAATTTTGTCAAGAGGTAAACAGAACAATTTTTTAAAATGTAAACTTTACCTAAGGACTGTGATGCAAAATGAGGTTTAAAATTTTTTTTCAAGTCACTGTAAAATTTAAATCCAGTTTTCTTCTTTTTTTGCCTGCTCTTTCTCTTATAATTATCAACCACAACAATCAATTTACTACATTTCTCCCTCACTTTTCTCCAATTCAAAACATTTATAGCCAGTTGCTTACATGAAAACTTGCTGGCTGAAATCTGCTAAGACACAAAAACGGAGTGAACTGCCTCCCTCCTCCCTCAAGGCTACTATTTGTTCTAAGCCTTCAAAGAAAATTTCTAAACCTCAGATTTGGGCCCAGACTTAAACAGTTAGTTCCCTTACCTTCCCATGTCTCCATTTCATGCTTCTGGGAGTCTGTTGAGAAGTTCTATTGCAGCCATGAAGAAATAGAGATTACGGGACAAGTCCAGCTTGATGACCACCCTTCCGACACTTGGCCAATTTCTCTCTTGGCTGGGACTACGACAGTCTTCCTCACAGGTCAGTTTACAAGCCGGTCATGTGATTAGAAAGTTCAGGCGCTAAGGTCACAACGTGTATGGAGTTCGTTTATTACCAAAGGTTATCTAAGGGGAACTGATAGACTTATTTTCTTTTGTTAACAATACTGACTAGAATGTTTCTCTGAAAAGTACCATGGGAACATTTAATAGGAAATACTCCTCTGGTCTTCTTTAAATTGAGATCCTAAAATTAAAAGGCAGCATTTTAGAAGACTTGGCTTTCATCTAATTTAAAAGAGTTCTAGTACATGGAGTTTTTTCTGCTTTTTCTTTCAAGAGCTATTCTATACTCTATTTTCCTATATTCTGGATTAGAAAATTTAGAGTTGAAATATTTGGTACAAGGAAAAGACAAAACAAAAACTTCATGTTATACATGTACTTTGGGGGGGAGGGTAAGACTGGGATTCCCTGCTTTTTGTCATTATAATAAACAATGACAAGGCAAATTCTTCTGAGAAAATTAAAACGTGGAGCTCTGAGTTATTTTGCAGGGTTCACTTTAATTCTGGCCCTTAATTTCCATGCTCTGGTTATACACACTAGTTTGAAAGAATGTAGGCAAAGAAAACTAGGTCTGCAAAATCCTTTTAGAAAGCACAAAGGTTAGAAATATCATCCCCTGCCCCCAGCCAAAAGCTTAAATCTTTAAAGTAAGCCTCCTGCTTCATTCCCTTAAAACTCCTAAGATTTTAAGCAATCTTGTGCTAGGCCTCCCTGATGGTGAACCACACCAGTAACATAGCAGAGTACGTGCATGCATATATATGATCAAACCTTGCCACACAGCAGCAAATCTGAGCCATATGCTAATGACATACGATGTCAAACATTCAGCTATCCATTCAGATAGAACACTAATCACAGGGCGAATTCCTCAGAGAAGGTGGTATGACCTAAAGACCAACTGATTTCAGGGATAAATTCTTTTTAACTGTGCAAAATGTTTCACCCTATGAAATCTCCCTTTCTCTCTAGCCTAGCCTTGGGAATAACTTAAGGCCAAGCACATTTTATAGCAGTGTTCCAGAAAAAAGAGGAGACCCTTCTTGGGGTGGGAGTGGAATCTGTCACTTGGCAGACATATAACTGAATGGTAAATATTGCTACCACAGTTACTACAGGGTTTTTCCAACCGATAGAGACCATTAGGGCCATCTTACAAAGTAGGACCTAAAGAGAAAGTAACCAATGATTTAGGTAAGAAAAGGCTATGCTTTCTTTGTCTGCCTAAAAATACATGTTCTGCCACTGCCACCAAATACCTCACCCCAATACAAACATATCAACCAGTTTTCCCACTCCTCTAAGAAATTAACAGAGATTTTCTTCTCAGCCCCTGTGGAACTTAATGCAGCTCTTATAATTTTAGTAAAGTGACTATAAAAAGAATGAGGGGGAAAACCTGAACAAGGGGAAAGTCTACCAGCAAAAAGCTATTCAATTTGGAACACTCATTCAAAGGGCAGCTCTCTGTCTCCCTGAAGGATACAGGTATATCTAAAACTCAGTACCTGCATATAATAGAGTACATGTAGTAAGCATCTTTGCTTTATTGCACCAACTTTTGGAGGAAAGATGATACGGGAAGCTGTTAGTCTGGCTCCCAGATCAAGACTGAAGCAATGCCCTTGATTTTTAAGGGCAGGTCTTTTTTTGTGTGTGTATTTTATTTATTTATTTGAGAGAGAGAGAGAGCACATGTGAGAAAGCACAAGTGGTGGAGAGGGAGAAGCAGGCTGCCCATTGAACAGGAAGCCCAATGCAGGGCTCAATCCCAGAACCTGGCATCATGACCTGAGCCAAAGGCAGCCGCTTAAACGACTGAGCCACCCAGGCACCCCTAAGGGCAGGTCTTAGTAATAATCTTTGATATACCCATAAGCCTGGGAACAAATCTTTAACATAGCTTAAGAAGATGGGTAAATCTTTTTTTTTTTTTTTTTTTAAGATTTTATTTATTTGTCAGAGAGAGAGAGAGAGAAAGCACAAGCAGGGGGAACAACAGGCAGAGGGAGAGGGAGACTCCTTGCCGAGCAAGGAGCCCCATGCGGGACTCGATCCCAGGACCCTGGGATCATGACCTGAGCCGAAGGCAGACGCTTAACCAACTGAGCCACCCAGGCATCCCAAAGATGGGTAAATCTTAATCTTTGGATATAGAGTCACATTCTTCAGCATCCTCAGTCCCACAGGTTTTTTTTTTTTTTTTTTTAAGTCCTTTATAGGTTCTACTGGGAGGAAGGGGAAATAGAACATGAACATACATCTCATTTGCCACGTGAATGCAAAAGACAAACTGTAAATCTTAACTGGGGGTCCCAGTAAGATTGTTAAAAACAATTGCATATAAGAAAAAGAATTTTACTTTTAAAGATTTTATTTATTTGTGTTCCCTCTCTCGCTGTCTCTCTCTATCAAATAAATAAGTAAAATCTTTAAAAAAAAAGATTTTATTTGTCAGAAAGAGATAGAGCACAAGCAGGGGGAGTGGCAGGCAGAGGGAGAAGTAGACTCCCCGCTGAGCAAGGAGCCCCGATGGGGGACTCAATCCAAGGGCCCTGGGGTCATGACCTGAACTGAAGACAGCTGCTTAACCAACTGAGCCACCCGGGCATCCCAGGAAAAATAATTTTAAAAGATTAAAGGGATTCCTATAATTTATGAATGGGAAGGACAGAAAAGAAAAGAAACCAGTAACATTTTTACTTCCTAATACTAGCTTTGTAATGTAGAAAAAAGTAGATGAACAAAATTCTACATCTAACCATTTACATACTGCATATCTAACAGAATTCAAAAGTTAAGTCTGAATTATGGCCGAATCTTAGTTAATCTTGCAAGAGACTGGTTCCACTTTCATTTTATAGATAGGGAAACTGAAGCCCAATGAAAGGAAGAGGCAGGAGTTGTAAGACCAACAAAGAAGAAAACTAAATATCCTAATCCCTTATTTATTCCATTATACCACATATCTTGAACAGATAAAAACAAACCCTCTTCTTAGATGTTACTATTCAACATTATTTCCCATCTGTTTGTTTATTATTCAAATGGCAGCTTTCAAAGATGACTGAAGATTCTGAAGCTAAAGGGAGGTATCAAGGGGCGCCTGGGTGGCTCAGTCGTTAAACAGAGTTAAGCGTCTGCCTTCAGCTCAGGTCATGATCCCAGGGTCCTGGAATCGAGCCCCGCACCGGGCTCCCTGCTATGCGGGAAGCCTGCTTGTCCCTCTTCCACTCCCGCTGCTTGTGTTCCCTCTCACTGTGTCTCTGTCAAATAAATAAAAAAAATCTTAAAAAAAAAAAAAATAAAGGGAGGTATAATGCTTGGTCTTTCAACGTAAAACAAGAGAGCCATTCTAATGGCCACACAATCACTGGAATCAGTTCAGACTGAATTTTAATAAGTTTCAGCAAAAGTGCGATACAAAGTGAAAGCCATGTGACCACTATGATGGAGGACTAGTTAGAAAATCTCTAACCATTTCAGAAAACAAGAAATATGCAGAGAATATTTTAAATTCCTTTTTAACCTTGCAAACAACAAAAACAAGAGTCCAAGGTCTCAGTTTCTCATCTGTCAGATCTTTGATACAGACATCCCCTATGGCAAGGGAAAGAGTTGAATTCAACTGAACAGGAACAAGGAAACACAGCCAGGTGAAATCCATACTATCTAGGACTAACAAGCAAACCTCCTGAGTGCAGAAAAATAACAACAAAGAACATACTTAGATATGATTTCCAATTTTGCCTTTTATCACAGAGTTGGAGAAGGGAATTCATAGTTCAGGAAACAAGAAACAAAAAAACCCCTCAGAGTTGGAAACTAAAAAGATTTCAGAAATTAGGATTTTTCATCCAATTCTACAAACATTAGTTGAGTGTCTCCTATGAGCTAGGCACTATGCTGCCTGAGATAACTGAAATTAATATGATGTGATCCTAGCCCAGGAGGTGCTCACCATCTGCTGACTTCTCCAGCATCATTTCTACCACTCCACACTAACCCACTTACAGTACAAACATACTAAACAGATAACTGACAATAGGATGTTATGAGTGGTGTAACAGAAGTGGGTACCAAGTGTTAAGAAAACACAGAAGAACGTATAATTCATTAGATTGGAGTGGGAAGCCATAGAGGGGGCCTTACATTTGAGCTGAACCTTGTAGTTCTGCAAGTAGACAGGTAGCAAAAGTATTTCAGGACTTGAAGGGATGAGTAGAACTGGGCAGATCTCAAAAGACTTTTTAATATCTACGCAATTAAATCAGGAATGAAATCTATATGCAGAAAAGTAACATGACTGGCTTAAGGAAGAAAAGACTACAGGGTGTGATTTAAAAATCACCTTATATATAACAACCAAATACAATGTATACAGTTTATTTGGATCCTGATTTGCACAAATCAAGTGTAGAAAGACTTTTTTTTTAAGGTAATGTTTTATTTATTTTTTTATTTTTTTAAAGATTTTATTTATTTATTTGACAGAGAGAGACAGCGAGAGAAGGAACACAAGCAGGGGGAGCGGGAGAGGGAGAAGCAGGCTTCCGGCTGAGCAGGGAGCCCGATGTGGGGCTCGATCCGAGGACCGTGGGATCATGACCTGAGCCGAAGGCAGATGCTTAACGACTGAGCCACCCAGGCGCCCCTAGAAAGACATTTTTGAGACAATCAAGGCAATTTAAATATGGGTAGGGCATTTAATTAGATCAGTTTCCCACCCACAGATTGAAGAACCTGGAAAGAGTAAGCCCTCCCTCCATTAAAAAAAAATCTCCATAGGGGCACCTGGGTGGCTTAGTTAAGCATCTGCCTTCGGCTCAGGTCATGATCCCAGGGTCCTGGGATTGAGCCCCGCATTGGGCTCCCTGCTCAGTGGGGAGCTGTTCTTCTCCCTCTGCCATTCCTCCAGCTTGGGCTCTCTGGCTCTCTCTATCTCCCTGTCAAAGAAATAAATAAAATCTTTAACAAAAAATAATTCTCCAATCAAGATTTTGTATGTAAAATTGTAAAGTATCACAATCAAGAACAGGTTGTAGTATGAATAAATTAGTCCATTTTGGATGAAAAAGAACCAGATATACAGTTCAAACAAACAAAATACATACAAACCAAAACGTAGCCAACTATTATGTCTCCTGAGAGGTCTGAAAAAGTTGGAATTTAGTCATCCCATATAGCACGCCTGCCTTTATCTTCTTCACAATTAAGACCCAGGCCAAGCCAGAGAATAATGGAAATAAACACTGTAGCTCTGTATATAGCAATAGCTCAAACTGTTACTAAGCTGCATGTGCAAATGAAGTTAAAAAAAAGAGAGAGAGATTTAAGTAGTAAAAACAAGATTTAGGGGCAGGTCAAGTGGACAGAGAACCTTTCTTTTTTGGTGCTTCTAAAAAGGAAAACCACTTGAAGCCGTAGTTTCTGGACAGACTCTGGTCTCAACCCGGACTTCTCAAATGGTTTCATTTTCTATCCACCCATCTGCCTAACCCAGAGGGGGGAAAAAGTCAGATAACCAAGAGGTTTCTGCCAATAAGTAATTAAGTTCTATGTAAGAGAGGAATCTGGGCAAAGGCCTGTACGGTACACCACCACTACCAATAACTGTTGCATAATCTCATCTATAGGATAAAGGTCCACACTCCCCACACCCTTTACAACCCAGCCCCTGCTGATCTCTCTAGCTTGATCTATCACCACTCTGTAAGTGCACATCACTCTAGCCATACTGACCCACTTGTAGTGCAAGCATGCTTCTATTCCATCGGCCTGGAATAACTCTTTTTACTACTTCCTTATTGCTTCCACTACCACTTACTCATCTTTCTGGAATCAGTTTAAATATCACCTCCTCTGTGAGGCATTCTAAGACTCCATCCTCTCGGCCCCCAAATCAGAGTCAAATCACACCTTTCTTCCATTCTGCCTGGATCCCTAAAATATACCATGACAATACAAATCACTTAGTATTTTTATTTTATAGTTCTATCTTCCTTATTCATCTGAATGTACCCCCCAAAGAGTCAAGCCTTGGTAATCCCAGCGTCCAGCCTTGGGTTTAGCAGATAGCAGGCATTCATAAATGTTAAAGCAATCAGAAGGCTCTTGGTGTATGTGTTGTGTGGGTGGGTGGATAGTGTGCAGTTCGTTTGTTAAACTTAATCATGTGTTAATATTCTATTTAATTTCCACATTTTCTCTTTTATCTTACTTCATAGGAAGTTTTTTCCCCTGGAAGAACTCCACTTCAGAGTCCTTTATGTGTCAGGCCCTTTTTGTTTTCTATGATTTGTAAGCCTATGTGACACTGAATCTTCCAAAAAATAAAGGTCCAGCACTGGTTGTAAAAGATTTCTAGCCAGTATGTCCTATTTGCGGAGTTCCTATATTAGTGTGGAGTCATATGTTGCTGGTGATCTTTTGATTGACATGTATATCTTCTGTTAGATTCCAAGTTACATGAATGCAGAGACTGTGCCCCTTATTCTTGTTCACCATTATATTCCCAGTGTATTCTCAGTGCCTGACATAAAACAGGTGCTTAATGAATATTTGTTGAGTAAAGGAAGGAAGAAAGGAAAATAGTTACACTTCAGAGAGCAGGAACATGGAAGAAGAAAAGAAAATGTCAGGAATACAAATATTCACAAAAAGGGTTACACTAGGCCACTCCTGCAAAGCTAAAACCAGTTCACCCAGCCTCAATTCCAACTTCAGTAAATCCTACTCATACACACAGCTCTTCTCTAATTGAGGGATTGGGTGTAATAAATCTGAAAACCAACAGGACCGGTTGTAAACCAGCCAAGTGGCAATCCTACCTGCAACCAACCCCGTTCTTCCTACTCTACTAGAGATTGAACCTGACTCTCTAAGGATAGGCACAACAAAAAGAGAAAGCAATAGGGGCTTCCTAATCTTGCTTTGGGGTAGAACAGTGGCTTCTGATAGCAAAGAAACTGATTTTTATCAAACAAAATATAACACACATAATCCTAATCTGAGTCAACTACACATAGCAGTTGAGCCCTATCCTGGGTCCTGGAGTCATGGATTGCTCCCCTGAGCCTTACATCTTGATATACCTAGCTGCCTTCTGGGCATCTCCACCTAGAGATCATAAGCACCTCAGACATGTCCAGACACATCCTCTCTCTAAAACCTGCTCTTCTTTCTGTGCTCTCTGTTTCAGTGAATGGCCTCAATTCCCAAGCCAAAAGGACTCTTTCCTTGACTCCTTTCTCCCCTTTGACCTCACCCACATTCAACCAGTCACCATTCCTCTTTTCTGTCCCCTCAAAAAGCTGCCAAAATAGCCACTCTTATCAAAAATGGGACAATTTAAGTATCCTTTTAAAAAAAGTTACAATTAACAGAAGCACAAATGTTTAAATCTGAAATTATTAATGATTCTAAAAAAATTAATTTGCCACCACTGAAAGATGTTAGGGAACCAATACAGCATTTTGAAAATTTTTACATAAAAGGGGTGCCTGGGTGGCTCAGTCGTTAAGCATCTGCCTTTGGCTCAGGTCATGATCCCAGGGTCCTTGGGATCAAGCCCTGCGTCTGGCTCCCTGCTCCTGGGGGAGTCTGCTTCTCCTTCTCCCTCTGTGTGCGTGCTCTCTCTCTCAAATAAATAAATAAATAAATAAATAAGTCTTTAAAAACATTTTTTTTAATATAAAGGGAAAGAATCATGCCTTTCCTAGGTGAAATATACCACAGGGTAATAAATAGCAATGGAAAAATTTCTCTCCATAGAAGCACTGCAGCAAATAAATGAACAAAAAATACTGGAATTAGAATATTACTATGAAATAATAGATCCTAGATATTGACTACCAACAGCTAAAATAACAAAAAAAAAGAGCAAGGCAGTAATACATCTTTTGATGTAAGAACTCAACACGCCCATGAAATAGTAGTCTTGCCAAAAAAGTTGAATCTGAAGATGGTCAAGTCTCTAGATCCAACTACTAAAATAAAAAAACTACTACAAAGGAACATGGTCAAGTCTCTAGATCCAACTACTAAAATAAAAAAACTACTACAAAGGAACATGTTCATCTACAACATAAAGATGCAA